CGGAGGAGAGGGAGAGAGAGGTGGGCCTGGTGGCGGAGGAGAGAGAGAGCTCGTGGTGGGACTGGTGGCGGAGGAGAGAGAGCTTGTGGTGGTTGCTTGATTGCGTCGTAGGAGAGATATCGAGAAGAGAGATAGAGAAAAAGTGAAGTCGGCTTGTTACGTTTCTGAAAGAAAACCCTAAGACAATACAAGATACGACATCGTTTTCTATTCTAAAAAACAAAAAAAAAAAGATAAACGGGCACCCTTTTATTCGCGGGTAAACCCGTTTAATAAACATTCTTAACGGGCCGACCCTATAAGAACCCGTTATGATTTTATCTATAATTAAACGGGTACGGGCTCAGCCCGTTTACAGTCCGCCCGTTAAGCCCGCGGGCTTTGAGCCCGTTTAAACATCCCTAGATGAGACCCTTTATTAATTAATTACTTATAGACCTTTTATAAATTTTTTTTTTTTTATTACTTTCTTTTTCAAATTACCTTAAAACGGAAACTGTTGCTGGCTTGCTGCTCCATCACCTCTGCAACATCAGTTCTTACTTTCTGCAAACGTTAAATCGCTAAAAGAACAAAACTTTCTCTTCCATCTTTGTCTTCTCCAGAGATAGACAGAGCAAAAGAACAAAACTTTCTCTTCCAGCTTCATCTTGAGACAAGAAAGAACCCATTTTTCAAAGACCCCTGTTTCACCACTTCCATGGACGACTCCGAATCTTCTCCTCCGGAATTAAAGGCTCTGTCTTTGAGCGTTTCCTTCAATGGGTGGAGAGAGGCGAACTCAAGATTCAAGTCTTGGGCTATAAAAATGTCATCTTTACACAAACCCACATGGAGAAAAGTTGGAATCTTTGAAGCAGTTATGGCATCTACCAAAGGATTCGACAAAAACACTGATCTCCTTCTGGGTATCTCTGAGAGATGGTGTCCTGACACCAAAACCTTCCTCTTCCCTTGGGGTGAAGCAACGGTAACATTAGAGGATGTCATGGTTCTCCTAGGTTTCTCTGTTTTGGGTTCCCCTGTTTTTGCTGCTCTGGATAGCTCAGGAGAGGAGATTAAGGGCAAGCTGGAGAAAGAATGGGTCAAGATTAAGAAACATACACTCAAAATGGTAACTAAACTCCAATGGATAAGGAGATTCATGGGGTGTAGGGGTGAGATTGAGCATGTGGCTTTCCTTGTGTTGTGGTTAAGCTACTTTGTGTTTCCAACACGTTGTTACCATGTTGATAAAGCTGTTTTTTCGATAGCTGTTCAGCTTTCAAGAGGTGTTAGGGTTGCTCTTGCTCCTGCTGTTCTTGCTCACTTGTATGCAGAGCTCACTCTCTTGAAAAACCACATTAGAGATTTCAAGACAGTAACGGTACACGACAAGGTTGAGTTTAGTTCTTTGTTTAAGTTGGTTCAAGTTTGGACATGGGAGAGATTCAGGGAACTACAGCCTAAAAACACTAATCCGTTGCTGCAAGGTGAGCCAAGGTTAGCTCTTTGGCATGATCCGAAACTGAAGATGAAAAGGAGATATGTGAAGAAGAGAACAAAGAGCAACGTGAGGGAGATACTTGCAAACTCGAAGATGGACAGTTTTGAGTGGCGTCCATACACAAAAGCTGTGAAGAACTGGAAGTTTCCTCAGTTTTACCCTGAGAAAGCTACGTGGGTTACTGTTGGTCCTGATCTTGATGAGGAATTCATCTCCTTTGCTAGATGCATTAAGGTTTCTGAGCTTGTGGGAATGGATAGTGTAATACAACACTACTTTCCCAACCGAGTGGCTTCACAGTTTGGATTGCTTCAGGATGTTCCTTGTCCTGTTGTTAACAGTAAAAAGCATTCAAAGAAAAAGGCTTGGTCGGATTACAACAAGCCTATTGAGGATTTGACATTGTACATCCCTTCTCGTTCTTCAATATCTTGTTTTACTTCAATGTTCTGCCAGTGGTGGAGGAAGGATAATCGAGCTGAATCACTGACACCAAGTAACATCATGGGTGGTGATGTTGATACGTTTGATCCTTTTCCTTCTGGTTCTAAGAAACGGAAGTCAATGAAGCGAGTTTGTAAAGAAGATGAGACTCATATGGATCAGGTTCCATCAGAGAAGGATGAGGAAGATGATAGCTTAACCATTGCTCAACTGATGAGATTGAGAAAGAAGAATTCGGCTATGTGCTCATCTGATGAAAACCCTCCTAAGGTACTGCCATTAACAGAAGTGCTTCAAAAGATGGGAAAAGAGTTTCCTGAAAAGCTCAAAAGGTCTAGATATCTTAGAACACGGACAAATGTGAGATCCGAGATAGAGGATTCTGGTGGATCAGCTTCAAGAGAAGTGCCACTTAATAAGTTGTTTCAGAAGGAGGAAGTAGTGAAGAGGAAGAGTGAGCATTTGGGAGACAAGAGAGCTCGAGCGGATGATGATGATGAGAGTTGTATGGATTGTTATGATAACATTACCACAATTGAAATGGTTATAGACAGAGAGAAAGTTGTAAGAGTTGCTTCTGACTCACGTAGGAAAAGGAATAATAGACTTGAGATTGCTTATGTAGATGAAACTGTAGCACAACGAGAAGGAACGGGAAACAAAGCAGGGAGGAAGAATATGGTTATTAGCTCAGCTAATGGTTACAACTCTTCAGATCTTCCTCTTGGTGCCAATGGACGAGTAGTTGACCTTGTTGTGTCACTACCAGAGACAAGACAAAAGTGTTATAATGCTGAGATTGGTGTAAATGGAATCAACACTGAGAAAAAGAACACGACTATAGTCGCTGATGGAAGCAAGGAAGCAAAGTGTTCGCTCCATGGAGATGGAGAGAACCAGAGATCCAATGAGAAGGAAGATGATGGTGAAAGTTTGAAGCAGATAAATCTTGCAATAGAGGAGATAGCATTGAATCTTGATGCACGCATGATGAAGGTGGAGAAGACTTTGGCAAAGATTAGAGAATGGAAAACCATTGAGAGAAACCAGATCAAAAATGGAATTTCTGCTTAGGATCTCATGCAAATAAAGCCAATATAGAGAATGGAAAACCATTGAGAGAAACCAGATCAAAAATGGAATTTCTGCTTAGGATCTCATGCAAATAAAGCCAATAATGTCACACGTTCTCAACTTTTTGGTGTGATTTCTTTTGGTGTTTCTGCATAATGTTTAAAACTTTCTTATTAGAGACAAATCTTTAGGACGTTTGGTGCGTTTTGGTTTAATATGTATTTTGAAAGATCTCTCAGTGTGGAGGAGAACCATTACTTCAGCTTTTGTTCCATTAAAACTATCTCAGCTCTTGATAATGTCTACTTTTCCATAAAATCTTAAGATCTAAGAATAGTAAGTAACTTCTACTAATTGCTGTGGCAGAAAAAAATTTGTCCATCTGTTATCCGAACTAATACAACAATGTACCTCAAACTTTGTTGTATTATATAATATCAAATTCGATTTGAGCAGTAAACTGTTTACTAACCCTTAATAATCCCACCAAACTTCCTCTGGCGTAATGTTATAGTTGGCTTACGCTGGTCACTATTCCGTGCCACGATCTTAAGCGGATGAGCTTCTGTGTTGAAAACCCATTCGTCTAATGAAATAACCGATGATGGCGAAAAGAGAAGGTATAGATATTTGAGAGTCTCAGCTAAGAAGAAGCTTTGCATCTTGTTGTCTTTAGCACCTGTATTGACCTGAAATGGAGAAGGGAACGTTGATACTACAAGGTCTTTTCAAAGATGGAAATGGGTTCTTGAGAATGAGAAACTTACATCCTTTAAGCCTACGTATCCAGATTCTATACGAGAATTCTTCTCAAATGCTTGAAAGATGTTCCATCCCCACTCTTGATATGTCTTGTTCCCAGTTAACCGCCAGAGGTAAAACAGAGATTCCACAGTTTCTGGTCTTAGGATGTTCCAAGATGTTCCAACACTCATGTCCTGAAAAAATCATGTGTTTGTAGGTATGAACGGACCAAACCAACTTAAAAACAGTCGCGTAAAATCAACACGTTATTCACCAACCTGTCCTGCACTGAAGTAATAATTCTCTCCGGCGAGTTTCGTTGGTGTTGATTGGTAAAAGTTATAACAAGTCCAGGCAAGCTGCAGTAATGTGGAGGGGAAAGACAGTAATAAGCCGACAGTAAAAACTTTAGTAAAAGCTCTAAATACATTTGAGATTCTAATGTACCTCTTCAGCAAGTGTAAGAAACTTTTTCTCTTCATCAGGACCATAACCTGATGCTCCTAAAGCTAACATTCCAGGAGCAAAGCATGCCAATTCATCCATCTGAATAGAACAAGAAAGAAACATGTCAAAACCTGCAAAACTCTTGTCGTAGAAAGTTTGACTTAAATAGATTTTACCTTGTCATTAAAACTATTTCCATTTTTCTCTTGTATATATGTAAATGATGAAGGTGTTGATTTCTTGATCAAGCTTAACAAACCTTTCATCGATTTCTCCCACATTTCTCTGATTCATTGCCACAGAAAGACTTGAGTCTTTTTTTGCTGAAATATGTATTTATATTATAGCATGTAGCTTTACTTACCTATAGAGTTTCACTTCTGACGTTTTGTTCCCTTGCACCCAAACTTTGAGCAAATACTCGTAAAAGCTACAAAACCATAATATAGCAAAGTCAAGGTCAGAAGACCGAACCAACAAAAAAAGATACCTGGTTTGAGAAAATTACCTGTCTCCCATGGCACCAAATGTTGTGGTAGAGTAGGATGGGTTAGCATTATCCGGATTTATATAGATGGGGAGTAAACCATCTTCAGGGAAGTTCTTATTCAGTTCCGTAATAACCTTCTCAACCTGAGAGACACAAGTTAACAAACGAATCAATCTTTAGCAGCAAATAATTTATATAGAGTTATGACAGTACTAATGGAGATATGTTTCCGCTTACACCTACTTAGGATATAACAAGTGTTGGACAAACTCAAAATATTCTCCCCTTAGCTGATCTTTAAACCACACATGAAAGTAATAGATAAATGTACCTTCTGCTGATATTTGGGATCACCTGTCCTCTGGGAAAGGGCGATAAATTCAAGCTGCTCAGTGCCAGAATCTGCAAGAATACTGTCTCCCTAGTACAGAAAAACATGATGCAACAATTAGCTAAAACCCTACAACTTACTGACCAAACGTACTCAAAAGAAATATATATCTAAATCGAAACATATACGCAGAATAAAACTCAGTGAAAGAAATATAGTTGGTCAATAAACTATAGTTACAGTCAACTCTTAAACCAACACTTGTTTCCAGTCTAGGCCTATTAAAAGAATATTAACTTTTGCATAGAGGGAAACCAGAACATCCTGTTTCTGGCGATTCTAGATCTGATTTTTTATACGGGACACTAAGGGAGTGGTCAGAACTTGAGTTCAAGCTATCAAAAAGCCTCTAAGAAGTCCATTAAAAACATATCAAGAACTTCAACTTGGGAACAAGAGCACACGGTTGCTGGAGCAAATGGCCATTATCTCTATGAACGAATACTTAACTACAGCCAGTATTAACGGCTTTAAAAGGATCTAGATGAAAAAGACTAAGTAATCTAGGACGCACCCCAGCCGCCCACGAAGGGTTGTGAGCACTTCCACTTCTCAAGTTGATAATATTGTAAGGTATACCCGTTGGAGTGTTCCATGCAGGTAATAATCTGTCTGCGATATCCTTAGCCTTTTCGAGGAATATTTTGTCACCAGAAAGATCATACGTGCTGAGAAGTCCCCCTACAACTCTGAATGAAAAAGAGAAAAAAAAAAGAGAGAAAGAGAATGAGCAGATGCAAATAAAATCTTTCCACATCTTATGTCAATCAAGACACAATTAATATTCCCAAATGATCTAACTCTTCCTATGACTGATATAACGAAACAACCAAAGTAAACCTGTTAAAGCAACCTTATGGTTGTCTCAAACATACTGGCGTCATAATCCTTGTCGAAATCCAATGAGGTTGCAACCCACCTACAAATAAAATACAACAAGGAAACGAATGTTGGCAAAGATAGGCACTTAAAAACTGAAAGTTACTAATAAAGAAACAAATATCTATGTGACTTAAACAGAGGATGCAGTATCATGAAGAGCCTCCGGTTAGTCACTTACTCTCTGGCTTTCTGAAACTGCTCCTCAAGACCCATTATATAGAGTGTATCTAAGGAATCTATCATAGTTGCTCCGAGGCCACCAAAGCTATCAGTGCCATCTTTCGTCCGGGGCTGACAATAGAGAATGAAAGAAACAACAATAACTTCAGATCACAAGTTTTTGTTTCAGAGCTAGGAAGAATATAATCTCAACAACAGTACTTGCAGGCATATGGAAACTGTTGTAACTTGAGATAACCTCATAGCAAAAGGCACCAAACTGCATGACTAATATTGATTTGTATATATTCCATCTTCACTAGATTATATGTACGCAAGGGTGAAAATTCATTTGGAAAATACTTTTGTACCTGAAGCTCATCTTTTCCCCATGCATACTTCTCGTATGAGCTCCAAGCATGGATCATTGCCTCTTTAACTTTCTGCCTTCGCTCGATAACAACTGGATCTTCTGGAACATCCTTCTGAGTCATCAAAGTTTTACCATCGCCAACACCTTTAAGCTCTTCTAACTAGCACAAAATATAGTTAGTTAGCTAAGCATTTGAAAACCATCACACCCTTCTACAGTCCTGAAGATTCAATAGGTCTTAAGAAATCATTGACAGGCTATAGAGTAAGAGAAGAGAATATCATATCTTACCATCTGTTCCAGCCGTAAAACCTCTTCAGTTAACTTAATAACTTCAACCTGCAAGACAGAAATTTAGTTAAAGAGCAGCAATACAAGACGACAAATAATCACAAGAGAATCATCCACTTCCTTGAAACATAAGTATCATCACTTCTATCTAACTCAAGCAAATCAACAAACGCATATAGTTTCTTTGATGAATTGAGCTCATAAATGATCAATCACATCTCTTTCCTAGAATCTAGCAAGGCACCATCTTCCATGTGAAAGACTCCATAAAGATCTCACCTTTCCTACTTAGACCTTAAGCTACCAAGGTAACAAACCATACAAGTCTTGAAACATAAGCTACTATATATTATATGATCTGACTATGCTTATCTACAACCAATGATTCTAGAACATCCTCTTAGACTTAGAGAGATTCAGAGTTCTGTCCAGATTCCATGAAGAGGCAAAACATAAGCTACTTTATATGATTGGATTATGCTTATCAACAACCTATGATTCTATAACTGTCTCTTAGACAGAGAGATACAGAGTAACAAAACAGAAGCTACTTCATAAGATTTGATTGCCCTTAACAACAACCTATGATTCTATAACTGTCTCTTAGACAGAGAGAGAGTTCTGTCTAGATTCCACGAAGAAAAAGACAAAACATATACCCCATGTTCTCGGGAAAGACTGATACGATCCCAAACCAACATGGAAACAGAGAGGAAGACAATGAAAAGCAAAGCCAAACGCCTCGGCCGTCTAAGGTAATACGCAGGATTCAGATATTTGCATATCCCAGAGCCACTAATCGATCTACTTCTCGCCATCTCAGCAAAAACAGAGTCGTATTGGGAAGTTAAGATTCCATGAAACAGAGCACGTTAATATTTTGAATAAAGGATTCGACTTTTCGAACCCTCCGATCCGTAAATTAGTTAAGAGATAGAAGAAGAGACAAAGCTTTCTTAAATAATCGAAGAGTTATAGATCCGATTTATGTTTTAGTAGGTTGACGAAGGAGAATAAATGAAGAATCAACAAACAGAACATGAAAACACCAAAAACAATAAAAAATTTATTTTTCTGGTCCTTCACTTTTCTTTAATATTTGTATTGTCATTAAAACTTATTTACTTACTTAGTTGTCCGTTACGTTTCTTTATTTATGGTTTTGCTTATTTAGTATAGACTCCTTTGCTTCTATCCCTTTATGTTTTCTGTAACCTATAAGC